AAATATTTTCCTCTTAAATTTAAATCAATTTTCAACGAACCTTAGTCCGTTAATCCAGTCTAGTTATTCAGTATTAATATCCTTTAATTACAATTCCTAAAGCTCTTCACCGAATAAAGGTTAGCGACAGTAATCTAAATTTGGAACTGTTGCATAAAGCTGGATTTTAGCCAACACAACCAGTAAAATCCAGACAGTTTTTTAAAGTTTACTTATTCAATATCCGCCTCCAAACAACTATTTGAATATATTAGTTTATATATATATTTTTTTTTGAATAAATCATAAATGACATTGTCTCTAATATTTTTTTAAACACACAAAGATTTTTCACCCAGAATGAATATTTATGTTTGAAATTCTACACTTTTTTTTTTAAATTGTTAAATAAATATTTTGGTGTTATCTCAAAATATGAATTCTTAACGCCAATCGCGGCGCTACTTGTGATAAGTTTAGGCATTTAAAAATTTTAATTTTAGGATGAATTAACTATTTAAGGGTACGAGTCGAAATATCGTTGATATTTTCGCAACTATTTATATAACTGCACAATTAATTAATTTGGGAAATTTTTATAACTTGCACTGACTCTCGCTTTTAAGATAAAGATATCAGTAATGATTAAATACAAATATGTATATTTCGTTCATTCATTCATGTCCATATTTCAAACCCTACAACTAATCATTGAACAAACTATTTAATTAGATTCAAGAGACTTCTCTAACAAAAAAGACAACCAAAGTCATTGGTATATTTACAAATTCTAAACTTAAGAATATGATAAAAAATTAGACCCTTCCCTCTACCTTTGAACACGGCCATTTTCTAAATGTGGGCCCTTCTTCTCAAGATAATGCTACAAGTTTAATTAACTGCAGCATTAGTCTTTCTTTTTCATACTCGATTTTATGATCTTGGTGTAGAAAATAATCTGACTCCAAATCATTTCGAATCACAAATGTAGCTATTGTACCTACACAAACTGGATTCAGAACAGGTGTGGAAGGAGATTTAACCCTACCCACACTCAGTACTGGCAGAACAAATACAAATACATGGGCTAAGTAAATTGCTTATGTAATGGTTGAAGACGGCTTGAATGGGTAATGAAGAAAAACTTTAATATAAGTTTAACATAACATTACCCATTCAAGCCGTCTCCAACCATTATTAGTCTCAAAGTGGGTTCCTCGTCATCGAATTTAAATTGCTTATGTGGTAAGCTTAAGCATCATAAATAAAATCAACTCGCAGGGCTGCTTTACTACTGCTCAAGGGATATTCACACTGTATAAGAGGCATTCACTCTTAATAATAACTAAGAAAACTTGGGATATTTATTCTTAATAAGAATTGTGACTACTAGGATATATACACTTAATAAGAATTGTGACTACTAGGATATATACACTTAATAAGAAGTGTGACTACTAGGGATATATACACTTAATAAGAAGTGTGACTACTAGAGTATATACACTTAATAAGAATTGTGACTACTAGGGATATATATACACTTAATAAGAAGTGTGACTACTAGGGATATGTACACTTAAGAATTGTGACTACTCGAGTATATACACTTAATAAGAATTGTGACTACTAGGGATGTATATACACTTAATAAGAAGTGTGACTAATAGGGATATATATACACTTAATAAGAATTGTGACTACTAGGGATATATATACACTTAATAAGAAGTGTGACTACTAGGGATATATACACTTAAGAATTGTGACTACTAGAGTATATACACTTAATAAGAATTGTGACTACTAGGGATATATATACACTTAATAAGAAGTGTGACTAATAGGGATATATATACACTTAATAAGAAGTGTGATTACTAGGGATATATACACTTAATAAGAATTGTGACTACTAGAGTATATACACTTAATAAGAATTGTGACTACTAGGGATATATATATATATACACTTAATAAGAAGTGTGACTACTAGGGATATATATACACTTAATAAGAAGTGTGACTACTAGGGATATATACACTTAATAAGAAGTGTGACTACTAGGGATATATACACTTATAAGAATTGTGACTACTAGGGTATATACACTATAAGAAGTGTGACTACTAGGGTATATACACTTTATAAGATATCTGACTACTATATTCCAGGTTCCATTCTGTTCTATGAACTATTTCTTTCATCATTTATCAATGCTCATTTTGATGGTCATGACTGCCTGATGGCAAAATTTCCACTGTAACAAGCTTCTTTGAAAGATGGTGATGTCAGTCTTACACTACACAGCTTGACAAACTTTTTTACAGACCCTCACAATAGGTTTCCAAATCCACATTTAAGCAGACCAAAAGCACAGAAGTTCACTGGAGCTGAGTCAAAGGACTTGACAGGTATGTAACATAATGGATTGTTGTGGTTTCAGTTTCTTTAGCCATATTTCTCATGAAACCAGACATTCATTTCGAGCTGTGGCTGGAAGTCTATGAAGCTTTTGTCTACTACTACTAGGAAATAAGCTAAGTTCATCACGATGACTTTGTTGGAACTTTGTAAATACAACAATCTCTTTGTGAATGTTTATCACAGTGGGTGATGTGGATTTGAGGTGTGGTTACAGAGTCAGCTTTCAGCTTCTGAATTAAACACTCTTCGGAAAATGTTCTACTACCTCCATGACGAACAACAAAGAATAAGTTTTCCAAAATTTTGTTTTCTTTGGCTCTACAGTTCTGAACAACCTTACTTTATAAATGTTCTTTTGTTGAAAGTTGTGTAGATATGCAGAAGAGAATATTACTGATCAAACTAAATGATAACTGTAAAAATAAAAACTTAAACAACAGGTGGCAGTGTTGTCAATTTATTTATGTTTCAGGCCCAAGTATTTCTTAGAAAATGCTTGCTACATATTCCACAAGCC